CAACCAGCAATGAGAAACCAGTGACAGATTTTAAAACTCAAGATAAAAATCCAGAAACACCAACAACAATCAACGGACAGAAGCCAAGGGAATCTTTTCAGAGTTGAAAGACTAATTAATGTTCAACCCTTAATTTCTGAATCCGTATATCAGAATATTTAAATTGTATATCAGGTGTATACTATTCTTCTTTTGAATTTCCAAAATGTTTTTCTTTTTATTTTTGGAGTCTTAGTATTTTCGAAATTTTTCTCTCTATCTTTTTTCTTCTTTCTGTCCTCTTTTTTCTCTCATCTTCTTCTTTTTTTCTGTCCTCTTTTTTCTGTCTCTCTCTTTCTCTTGTTCTTTTAAAATCTGATCAAGTCTTCCTTATTTATTCCCATCTTTCAGCATTTTTTAAATTAAAACCCATTATCTTTCACTCATCCCCCTTTTAATCTCACTACCTAATGTTTTGCCCTCCACTACATTAAACAAATACATTATCCCCCCCCATTATATCTTGTCTCCCATGCTTACATTAAACAACTATTATTTTCCCCACTACATTATGTCTTGTCCCCCACTACATTAAACAAATACCCCATTATATCTTGTCCCCCATGCTTATATTAAACAATTGCATTATTCCTCACCATTATATTTTGTCCCCCCATTATTGATTATTTTAATATTATTTTAATCCTAATTGACAGAGCACTCAAAATAAATAATTGTTCAGAATTTTAATTTCAAAAATACCCCTCTGGCCTTACTGAAATTACCATTTTGACCCTGAAAACATTGTAATTTACCAATCTACCCCGTCAGCTATAACAAGTTCAACTAATCAATTCTAACCAAAATATAGCAGCTATAACCAATTCCTAATAAGATTTTATGAACAAACTCAAACTATATGATGAACAACAAAGAAACAACTTGAATTATTTTAACTGAACAATGTTTTTACACAACAAACTTATTTTCAGATTCACCAACAATAACAAACAAATACATTCAAAGCATGAGCTCAAATTCAAATTACACTTTAAACAAAATAAATAAACAGATTCAAATCACTAAACTCAAATAATCAATTGATCTTTAAATTAAATCCAACAAA